GCACCAGGTTGATTCTCTGTAGCCTTCCATGGTCTTTGGCAGACTTCATCTTCATTTGCTTTGGATCCAATTGCTCATCTTCCTGGTGGTCCTGATTTTACCAGTTACTGTTGCCTAATCCTCAGCTGGACTGCTTTAGTTGTCACGGCTTTTTTTAATCTCTCAATGGACGATGAAGAAAAAATTTTTTTTGAACATACTGTAAAATCTATTTCTTCCATTAGGGAACACGGGTTGTGCCTCTTTGTGTTTTTACTGGCCCTGTGTATTGCTTGTTTACAAAACCTGCTTGCGGAGCATGCTGGGTAGAGGGGGGGTTGTACGGGGGCTGGCTTATAACTTTTCTGTTTGCCAGTGTCCCAACCTGATGTAGGCTGCAGTATTATCTGACTGTTTCTGAATTCCTGTGTCCCTCAATGGACTCGGAGAAATAGATTTTGCGTTAATGTAGAACTGAAGCCAAACTTTTTTTTATAATTTTGGCTAGAGTAAGACATCTGTGTCACACTGGGGAGATTTCCCTTCACTTCCTGTGAAATAGCTGCAACAGAAAGTGAGAGAAAATCCCTCCAAAAAGAGGGAAATCCCTGGTGGCAAGCAAAGTCAGCAGAACTAGTGTCCCCATTGGAAGATTTGCCATCTATTTCTGTTCTGATGACAACCCAAAATGTGGGATTTTCTTTCACTTTCTGTGATAATAGCCACCAGGACAAATAGAAAGGGTGAATCCCCCTACCGTGTACACAGACAGCAATATAAACCTGGCAGTTGTTGTAAACCACTCCAAAACTAAAAAATAAATAAATACATTTTGGCTTCAGTTGCACGTTAAGTACATAAGGCTTATTTTTTCAAACTGAAATGAATTAGATTGCAATGGTGCTGCTCTATGTAAGCCAAGGCTAATTGTGAAAGAAAAAAATCAATTCCACAGCCAAATATGCTGTCAGTGTACGCTATTGCTGACACTGTCCGTTAAAATTGTATTGTTCTGTAACACCAAATACAGCTTTAAAGGAGAACTATGAGGTGAGTGCTTTTCACTCACCTCATAGTTCTAGCCGACCTGTGACAATGAGACTGTCACAGGTCGGTTCAGTAGATCGGGAGGTGAGCGAACACATACCGGCTGGATTCCCCCCCCTCCCCGATCCGCCAGCGCTGACTGGTGGAACGGACGGGGAGGGGGTGGGTACAGCTGGCTCTGCCTCTAGATAGGCAGAGCCAGCTGTCAGTCACGCAGCTGGGCGGATCCAGACATAATTGTCGGGATCCGCTTCAGCTGCGGCGTCTCAGTATACCGCGAGCAGCAGCTTGCGGTATACTGCGGCGTCTCAGTATACCGCGAGCTGCAGCTCGCAGTATACTGAGCCTAGGGTGACGGGAGGACGGTAGTTTGTGTCCTCCCGTTACCCTAAGGAGAACTATGGGGAAAAGCCTTAACCCCATAGTTCTCCTTTAAGGCTTCCTCCAAGCATGTTATTTAAAAGATTTTTGTATTTCAATGTTTTCCTCAGTACCTCTTGAAAAGACCCTCTCCACTGTATGGTATTTTTTTTCTTTGCAATGGTATACAGTATGTCCCCCAGCTTCCCATAGCTTTTTTTTCTTAAAGTAGTTTGCTTATTAGCCCTAAAAAAGGTCAGAATTTCACAAGATTCGCCTCCCATAGATTTTAATGGGACTTACCTCTAAGTTCGGGTTTCACAATTTCTAACACGATTTGCCAAATCTTTGATGAATTGAACCTGGGCATATTCACCTTACACTAGTAGTAACACAGGAATTCAGTATAAGCAGCAAGCCAAAGGGCCACACACACCTTTCAATCACTGTCTGTTAACAAGCCAGCATGATACCCTAAATGTGAAACTGAACTTTTAACAATTACATATAGTAATGCAGCTAATGTTGTTTTAAAAAAAAATGACTGATACCTCTAATAGCTCCTGCAGCTATGGTCCAGAACATTAATTCACAGTGTATTTCTGGGAAATAAAAACATATGGTTCATCAGGTGAAAAATAAAATGCAAGATTCATTTTATTTTTCTTTATTCAGCATAACAAGCTGTTTTTTGTTTTTTTTTAAACTGCTTCTTTAGATATTTGGTAGCATGTCCTAGTTTTGCAATGAAAAAAGGAAATATTTCTTGCAACTAATAATACATTTTTAGGGATGTGGAGGTGTCATCTTGGAATCAATCTGACTGCCCTTGGATTGGGAGGGTCAGGAAAAAGTATTTTCTCCTATGTAGCAAAATATGGCAGTAGTTGCCTAGGGGTTTTTTTTTTTTGAGGGGGGGGTGGGGATAGAGTAGAGAAGAGGTAAAGGGGGTGATTTACTAACCTAAACACACACACACACCAGGTGTGTGTGATTTTCACACAGCAAAACGTATTTATCAACCAAAAAGTCTCTAAAAGCATATTTCCACTAATGCCATATATGTAAAAATCATGCACATGATGCATATATAATGCTGCTTCACAGTTTAGACAAAAATGGTTAGCTCATGCATTTACATTCCTGCATTCATCAACGCAAGCAACACAACATAGAGCTAATTTACCCAACATCACCTTGGAATTCCTTCAGGGCTTTGCACAACACACCTGCTGGGTGTGTACACATTACAAAGGTGTTTAGATTCCACCCATAGATCATGCTGGGAGGGAACACACTGCAGAGGTGTATACACGTTCGTGGTGTGTTTATAAGGTTAGTAAATCAACCCCAAAGGCTCTTTCAAACCTCTGTCAGTTAATTGCTTGCTGTTAGAATAAATCCCTACAAAGTGAGGGGAACTCCCTTCTTAGATAATGGAATAGTTAAAAAGGAGACCTGACCACATATTAATACATGTCCATGTGCAAACTGAACAAAAATCCATCCATAAAACAATTTAAAAAAAAATATTTCCTTCTTAGACATTAGTGCCCATTAGAAGATTTGCCCTCACATCTTGTTCTGTTGACAACTAGTGAAAAGTGAACTGATCTAAGTTTGTTTCGCTGGACACAAGCACTGAACATAGTTCCCAAACTTCAATGATGTCCATGGGAGCCAGAATCTTGCTATTTTTTCCCAGGCTTTTTTCAAGACCAGTTTACAAGCTTTTGTTAATATAAGGGCATGGGTAGCCGGGCACTGCCCTAGAGAACGTGTATCAATGCAAAAAAAGTTTTAAAGAAATACCAGTGGCATAGAAGTGGCTGGACATCACCATGAACTCTGCTTGTTTTGAGGGGATGCTCTAACTCCACAGTGTCTATCCCAAACATTATGGTGATTTTATTGAAATTTGGGTCAGTCTCTTGCCTCTAGGTTAAACATTAAAATCTTAGACGCCTAGTGTATCCCTGCCCCCAAGTACCCTCAAAGCCCTACAAGGCTCTTTTACCTTTATTAGGGTTGAAATGAAACTCACTTGCCCGGGCATTTCCCTCACTAACAGCTATTATACCCTCTACCATGTCAACTATTCTCCACTCTTTAAACATTTGTACAGCTTACTGAAGACTTATAACAAATATAAAATATATTGGGTTGGCAGGATAGCTGTGGTAAAAATGTCACTGTTCCCTAAATTTCTACTATGTGAGAGTTTTGACCGTAGCTATCCCTTCTTACTGAATACGTACTTTGCAAAATCAAATATTGCTTTGTCTGGCAAAAGCCAAGGCCAAGGGTATCCCAATACGTACTTTTTTGGACTAAATCTTTTGATGCCCTTGGCTTACCTCACATCTTGAAATATTAATATGCGTCTCAGATAGGACTGATAGCATTGTGGCATGCCTTGCAAAATATCCCCTTGTGGGTACCTATTGTGACTTAACCTCTGAAATTCTCTAACAATTAATAATCTGATGTGGCTGCCCCCTTGCTGGCGTAAACTAGCTACTAACCCCATCACTGATATTGAATTCTGTATACATTTTTTTTATCCTAAATGATTTGCTAAATTATATCTCTGCCTGAATAAACCCTTGAGCAATAGAAGAGTACTGGACTCCTCTACTGTAAGGCCAAAACAGATGCCTGATCTACCAAAGCTGTAGTTACATCATTTTAATCTAGATTATCTGGAAAGCGAAGGGTCAATATCAGGTTCACACAAGGAAATATGATTTGGAAACTCTTCCTCAGCATTAGCTATGTAATCTGCTTTGTGGAATTTGCTATCTAATTCCTCAAGCTGCTGCCTTTGCTATGGCAACACCAACCCTTTTGCCAAGTGTCACTATTAATTTCCACAGGCTTGTGTATCAAAGGTATTAACAGGTATATCAACAAAATTATTATTTAAAAGCTTTTGAACCTTTCAAACCTTTTGCTTGAGACAACAAATGTAAATTTTTCCTTAGTAAAAATACTATACAAAGAAGAGCTCGGGGAAAAAAAACAGTAAATGTGTGAATGTATCTGGATTTAATTTTTAGAAACAATGTTCCCTATCTTAAGAGCCATAGCATACAAAGAACTAAATTTGTTGCACATAACCTGTTTTTGCTGTTCTCTCAGAAAGAATGCAAATTAGATTTCTGATAACGATGGAAAACATGCCAATGCTGGATTCTGAGATAAAAGTTATAGACATAAAAATAAACTAATGTAGATACATAAGAATATCTAACAAGCAGCAGGTGGCCTGTCAGACCGATGCAGCTTGATCGCTACTCTCCCAGACAGAGCAGGGCTCCTTAGCTGTAGGTTAGTGGCGCATGACAGGATGTTTTAGTGGCATGGGGCATTCTTACACTAATATAACAAGTAGGGTATTGAAAACCTGTCATTTTGGTGCACCCTAAGTTGATGAGTACAATTTTGTAGAGTTCAACTGGGCTTTAATTTTCATACTATTTCAAATTCATTTGTGTGGATGCCTGAATAACAACTTCAGCAAAAATTGGAGGGTGAGGATGAGAGAGCCCGATGGAGAGGGTGCAATAATCCTGTCTTATTTTGAGTAGAGCCCTATGATCAATCTTTTACAGGCGGATGACACCGGTGAAGGGCGCTTCAGCTTTGCCGCCTATGGAATGGGCCCTGCATGTCTCCAGGCCAAAGATGGGATCACCGTAAAGGGGAACAACAACAACAACCCCACCAGCAATGCACCCCCTGCCGAAAGATCTGCAGACGAGATGCGCAAGCTCTTTATCAGCCGGGCCAAATATATCGACAAGGTGTCCAGGATCGGCTTTCCTTTGGTTTTTCTTTTATTCAACATTTTCTACTGGATCATCTACAAGATTGTGCGTAGTGAGGATGTTCACAAGCAGTGAAGGGGAAGCAGGCTGGGGGAGGGAAATGAACAAATTAAAGTTGAGTATTTTGGGGGGAAAAAACAACAAAAAACTTAAGTTTTGGATGGAAGTTGAAGGTTGAAGAGCAAGCAAAAGAAGGGAGTGAAGAAATGTGATCAATGGAAATATGCAAGAGTGGGACTTTCTCTGTGCTTAGCATATGTGTACCCCATGCATTTTGCTTCTATATGTCGGGGACACAAATGTTACTAATTTGTTTAGAAATCATAACATTTCATAGGGAAAGAATTACGCCAGAAGGACAGGTTACTACAAAGCAGAGGTAATATTGCAAAACGAAACACACGAGATAACATAAAAAAGCAGGTTTTATGGAAATGGGGACAAAAAGCATCGTCTTCAGAAACACAAAACAAAAAAGTTATCTTCAAAAAAAAACCTCTGTATCAATTTTGTGCAATAGCAATGCAGAAATGCATGATTTCAAGAATGTGGCAATATATCTACATATATCTAAGAAGTGGGATCTCTCAAATTCATAAAAGGGGGTTCGATGATGTACATAGGCCTTAAGTATTCAGGGGAATGGGATAGGGGTTGCTGGTCCAGAATGGAACCAGAGTGCTGCTGGTAAAATCCAGAGAAGTGCCAGGGGGTACAAATATGTAAAATATGCAACATATAGTCATGCCTAAGTATATTCTAAGATGCACATAAAATAAGGTTAGTATTTTAAAGATTTAATTTGCTTACAGCTTACAAACTGGGCTCTGTGAGCCGAGGTTTATGGAAATGAATAGATGTACAGAAGTTGTGGGATTTATTTTAGAATCCTGATATTTATGAAACTGAGGTTGTATGCTCAAAATTGCAATAAAGTAGTGAATAGCTCTTAATAAATACAGTGCTTTAGTCTTCAAATGTTAGTGTTGTTATCAAAATTTCTCAGACTGTGGTGTTTTCAATCAAAGGAAAAAAATTAAAATATGGAGATGGATAGCTAGTAGTAGTTAGCCACATTCAACTGGACTTGTATAATAATGAAGCTGCTTATGCTAGAGGCTTTGTTGGTTCTAATAGGTGTCAAAAACATACTCCAACATTTAGAAGCACACAAGTAACTTAGGGGTCTATTCACAAAGCTGCCGAGGGCAGCGGAGTGAATGACCGATCAGAAGTGAAGTGAGCCGAACACTGTTCGGCTATTCACTTCAGGCTGGTACGGCTGATTTCAGCCGTATATCGGCTGAAATCAGCCGTACATCGGCTTGCTTCGAGTGGCTTCGGATCAGCCGAACATGCTCAGCATGTTCGGCTGACCCGAAGTGCAGAAGGAGTTCGACTCAGCCGATCCAACATCTGGATCGGCACTTGATTCCGCCACCATCGGAAGTGTCAAGGCAGATGTTGATTGCCCAATAACATGATGGTAGGTATGAACGTTTGTGAAACCACCCTATTCTAATTCCAAATCCAATTCTATGGTGTGAGGAAGTCTTGGGCATGTGGAAGTAATTTGAGTTACATGAGTGAAGATGGAAATTGTTGCCAAGTCACCTGGGTAGAGATATTAGAATGGCATTATATGTGGGTGACATGTTTAGGATTTATTGTACCATTTTGATATAGATGGCCTCTTTCTCACTTCTTACAAACCAGTAGGGTTGCACAGATACCAAGTACGGTACTCGGTACAAGTACAAGTACATGTACCGATACTTTTGAGCTCCAAGACTAGACTAGAGAAAAATACAAAAATTAGGAAGCAGCTGTCATTTGTAAGGAGCACACGGAGCTCCCGGGATTTGTGCATCTCTGTTTTAATGTACGATTTTGTTTTTTAAAATATAAATAAAGGGATGCACAGATACCAGTTTTGCGAGTACGAGTACTGGTACTTGCCGAGTACTTACAAGTACGAGTACTGATACATATTTGTTTATTGTCATGTGACAGTTTTTCTAAAACAATACAGACTAATGATTTCAGGACAGTGGTGGAGCACCCGAGCCAGGTCCCAGCTGCATCCACTGCAACCCTGGTAGTTCTCATGAAAATGCCAAGTATCTGTACTGGTACTCGAAAAGTATCTGTGCATCCCTACAAACCAGTTGTCCTTTCTGTTCAAAATGTGCCCCTTGTTGTCCTTGAAAAAATGTCCCCTTTCCTTAAAGTGTAAGACTACTTTAAGGAAAAGGGACATTAGTAAGTGGCGACCTACAGAGTTTGCCCTTATGTTAGACCATCCATTTGACAACAGTTCACACTTTCAGCCATATAACTAAAAAGATTAACACCTCTCCCGGAATGAATGGCACCATGGTATTAGATTATGTAATTAGCACAAGGTGGTTTCACAAACTTTGATACTTTCCAGTATGTTCTTGGCCAATCAAAATCTGCCTTGACACAGACATGGTAATTGGAATAAAATGACTGAGTTACTAGTGTGGTTATAATTGCTAAGGATTGTTCCTGATACTCACTAGAACTGAAAAGGCTGCTGGGATAATCAGTGAAATGCCTTCAACATTACAGACCAAGTACAGTTGAATGTGACTAACTACTACTAACTTGGATAATTGAGAACCTTCATGGATATATGGTTGATGGATGTTAGAATATGGAGACCCTGTGACTAAAAATGGAAAGGTCTGCACTTGCTGCTGTAGTCAGAAGCAGAAGATAATTGTTCTGATACCACCTGCTTAAAACTCAAAAAATTACAAAGTCATAAGGGCCTGCTTTCATGGTTTGTAGTCATACTGAACATCGAGATCAACCGAGTGAGATTCTGCTCCACTTATTGATGTAATTCACTCCAAGTCCTTGAGTCCTTAAATGATTGTCAGGCTTTTTCTTTTTCTACATGCTATGAAGTAAACTGCATCAATAATGGAAATAGAATGTAGCAATGGTGAGTGTATATCAATTTCTTACATTGGGTTGATTACATCTGAGCACTAGAAGGTCTGTTATTAATTTATGGTCAGGCATTGTGAGCTTCAGAACTGGCTGCATGTTTTGTAGCTCCTATTTCCATATGAAGATTGTGTGACAAGTGTGCAGCTGATAAGTGCATCTTTGCAGTTAGATTCCAAAGGAGGGAATAAGACAACCATGTAAGTCCTTGTACTTTACAGGCATCAGTATGTGAAAAATCAATGTGTGCAGCTATCCTACAAAGTATTTGCAAAGCTTATAACAAGTTTGGGGCAGGTGTGTTAAGTCTTTAAAGCAACCTTCAGCTCCAGTGTGGAAAGGTTATACACTGATCTTAATGGGAGTTTTGCCTGTCACTTTAAACAAGCTGTTGGCAGTCTTTAGTAGGCTTCAGCACTACTTATAGCTTGCTAAAAGCCTGCTAGATGCTTGTTTAAAGTGTCAGTCAGCTCTCATATTAGGATCTGTGTTTGGACACTCTTAACATGAGCTTAGGTTTGTTTAAGGGACCGTTTCTTAATGAATAGGCTGCCAATGCACCACAATGGAGCAAAGAACACACATGACCCATTTTTAGCAACACAACACATAACAACACATGGTATGTGTGTTATACTGTGCTGAAGTGTGTTGCACTCTACCTTACAGTGCGTTGGGGCAGCAGTCACAAAAAATGGCACCACAACACACCACACAAAGAGCAGGCACATTGTAGGAATGTGCTTTAACCTCTTGCCGTCCGCCCTTAGTAAAAAAACGGACGGACGGCACTGCTGCATTTGCCGGTTGCCGTCTCCAGACGGGAATTTTTTTCTGCTCGGCAGAAAAGACCCGACCGTTGCACACACCCGTTACCGGGTGTTTCACATATAGGCGATCAGCGGGTCCATAGCCCGCCGATCACCTATATGTGATTAAGTTTTGGATTGACTTTCTTTTATTTTTTTAATAGAGTAGACAACAAAAACTTGATAATTAATAATAGGTGGTTCCATTTGCAGTGTACACTCATTTAGGAGCTGGTGTGTCAGTTAAGCTGAAATAGGCTGGTGCTAAAAGAGCTTTATTGGTTATAGTTTAAGTGTACAGATATTTGCAGTCTTCCAGATCTAGAAAATGTGTCCTTGAGATGATATTGAGATGGTTTTATATTTGAAGCTGTGGAGAATACAGGGTAGATGTGGTAATAGTGATGATATTCCTTTTCCTCGTACTTCAGTATTTTGAACAACGGATTTGATTATCAAGAGCCTTAATGGCATTTGTCTGACATATATCTCCAAAAAAGGTTATTTTATCCTATCCAACAGTACAGAGACTTTTGTTTTCAGCAAGAATCCTCTTTGCCTGTCTTCTGGTCACACACACAAATACATACAATGCAGGACCAGCGGTACACGAGGATGTCAGGGGGCCGGGAGCCGTAAATCTCTCTGATAGTGAAAAGCATTAAAAACATACTATCAGATGAAAAAAATATGTGCTAAGTTGATTTGACATTTATCAGTAGACCAATCCAGGCTCAGTATAAAGATATGGCAATGAGATGTTTTTCTTTACTACTTTACTTACACTACTGCTCATCAGTAATAGGGTAAGGTCAATGAGGTTACCAAACATCCATGTGTAGAATGTTGGGAATCCCTTTCTGAAGACCCTAACCACTAACACTGGGTATGCTGAAACCATAAAAGCAATTCAAATGTATTTCTGGAACCTGAGAAGTTATAAATGATAAGCGAGGAGACTGTATGAAACGATATCTTATGTATTATCCATTGTCAAATGTGTAAGTTCTGCTGTCTATGTAAATGTCGGATCTAAACTGGTCTTTTAACACCTTTGCTGGTGCTTTTTTTGCAAGATACTTATTATATGTACTATCATACTGTTTGTTTGTGTTTCCTACAGCATTAACATTAACAAATTTGCCTGCTCACCATTAGTTTAGGTTTTTAATCAGTTCCTTTGAGGGTTAGGTAACCAGTTAATGAATATTGTCTCAATACAGAAAAGGTTGTATCTGAAAAAAACCGAATGGCCGCTGACAGTGTGCAACATAAATTGGCAAAGTACAAGAACAAACAT